TGCGAGCTGTGGTCGTATGTGCGTGTATGAGTTGTCTTTAGATTTCATAAAGGGTAGTTTCAGATACACAGTGATGCCTGGTTTGATGATAGCCATTGACACATCCTGAAGGGTTTGATATATGAACAGCAATCTACTCCCTCATTTTCAAAGCAATATCCAATCCTAGCGGCTTTCTCAAAAATCCCTCTCTCGTTTCCATGACACCCTGCCTTAACTCGGGGACATATCTCCTCGCCCATGTCGCTGCGATGAGCTTCATTTCCATCTCAGCCACATTCCTTCCCACGCACGCTCTCGGTCCGTGACTGAATGGATTGAACGCTGTTTTTTGAATATCTGTAACAGTTTCCCAGCGCTCGGGTCGGAAGTCGTCTGCGTCGGCACCCCAAATCTCTTTGGAGTGGTGAAGAGTGTATGTCGGGACGCTGAGGACGCTACCCGGTGGGAAATAGTGACCTTTGATGGTGACGCCGGGAGATGTCGAGGGGATTTGACGCGGAAGACCGATACCAGATGTTGAATGGTAGCGAAGGGTTTCGTTGATAACGTTGTTCAAATATGAAAGGTCGCGGACCATGTCGTATGACGGCACATCAATCTCGGATGGAATCGCCTCGTCAAGCTCAGCCTGCAGTTTCTTGAGGACTCCGGGAGTTCGCGTGACATGGTAGAGCAAAGCGCATGAAGAATTGGAAGTCGTGTCGCTGCCAGCAATGAGCTGCGTCAAAGCCTCAGCCGTCAACTCCTCCCGACCCAAAGGCTCACCCTTCTCATCTCGCCCTTCCATCAACCTCGCCAAAAGATCCATGCGTTCAATACTAGGCGGATTGTCCAATCGGTTCTTTACGCGCGCGATAGCAATACCCGCAAGATTCTTAACAGCGTTTAGCCCGTTACTAAAGAATGGATCGGGTAAATACTGCGCATAAGGCTTCAACTGAGGAAAACATCCCAGCGTAGCACTGACTTCACCTCTTCGATTAAGAATCTCAATCGCAGAGGCATAAATAGGCGCACTATCGGGTGTATCGCGAACTTCGGCTACGTCAGCGCCGTTGGCTAACATGCCGAACGGAACACCAAACGCGAGGTCGCCGATGACATCGAAAGCAAGGTAATTGAACCAAGGAAGACAATCGATGAGGGCTTGACGCTTGCCATGCTCATCGGTAGACGGGCTGGATATGACGAGCTTGTCGAGCTGTTTGACAAAAAGTTCGAGGTTCGCGTGGATGTAGGGTTCGAATTGACTGATGGATTTGGCGGAGAAGACGTGCGAGATGAGTTTGCGCTTACGCGTATGTTCTGCGCGATCACGGGTATTGAACAAACCCCGTCGAATTGAAACAAACGCGTCATAAAATTCCCTACCATCATCAGCTCTACCCCCCGTAACTCGCAAAAATTACTCACGACTTCAAAAATCCATTTCCGTGCCCATAGATCGTCGCGATGGCATCAACATCCGCGATAGAGGTATGATTCGGCTGGATGCGCACTACAGGACCGAGCTTCTTGTGAATCTCATCCACGACGCGATAGCGTTCGCCGCGACGGCAGATGTAGAGAAGCCATAGATTTGAGAATTGCGCGGGAAAAGGCGCGGGGATGGAGCGAAGGTGGGAGTTTGTTATGAAGTAGGCGTAGAGGTATGAGGTTGTTAGGATGGCGAGGCCGATGGGGATAGACCACCATGTGAAGAGGACGTCTACTATCGCCATGACGTCGCTGATTGAGCGTCACGATGCTACGCGTAATAAGGCTGTCTTGTGCTGTGCTACTCAAACGACGCGTATAACACTCAAGATATGGCAATGCATCGTAGAAGTCATCGCATTCCAACGTCGGCCTCCTCGGGCACCTCCTCACGTCTTTAACCTTTCGTCATCGGGCTAGCCCAACTCTCCGCTCACTTCACCCCGCATCTCGGCAACAGTAGTTGAATCACGATGGGAATACTCTCAAAAACGATGCCCGAAACCCAATGACACGCATGCAATTCGGCCTTAGTAATGGTGCCCGCGGACGGCGCGCGGAGGAGTTATTCTGAGCGAATGAGACTGGCTGGTATCTTCCCCGGACGGAGAGAAGACCGCCGGGTGGTCTTTGCGCGGAATTTGACTTGGGGGTTACCCTGCAGCTGAGATTTAATCAGTGTAGGGCTGTGGTTTTTCACGATCGAGGTTCATTATATATGTTAAATTTGTCTGCAAGATGATTTTGCATCTTGAGTCAATTGATCGGTATCTTGTGGTTTCTTTTCGGCTTGTGTTTGCTCATGCAGTTCATCTTGGTTCACTTTGTGTTCTAATCCAACCATTGAACACCCATTCACCTAGGGAACAAGATATTGGGAGCGATATCCAACTAACGCGTCAACAACCCGAGATAAGCCTAGGAACTGATGACAAGATAAACTCTCAGCAATTAGATGACCTGCTTGATACCCTGAGATCGTTTGACCACTGCCCTTGCTTCTGATCAGCCTACCCGAACCTTCATCGTAGAGTTACCGCCCGGAAACATCATTTATCCGAAACCGACAGCCTACCCTTGGCGTTGCAGCTCGGTAGCTCGGCAAACCGTTGACCCGCCCAAAACACCAACACGCGACCGCCTTCCACATCACCACAACCTCACCCGTAAACAACAGCCAAGCAAACTGCATGTATAGCCATCACGCATTACGCTGTCAAGTGCCAACCCATCATCTAAAACAGACCCGTAGGGCAGTGCACATAAACAACGCATTGATCATCACAACCTGAAATCGGAAACATGTTGTCACGGTAGCATCTATAACTTGACCGTCCATCCGGCCCTTGGCTGCAGCTAGACAGACCTCAGATGGTCACAAGACGAATTATTGCCAGCCAATATCTATATCAATTATCAAACCCTATATGCGGCCACAGAGCTTAAGTCGTCGTAATACGACCCCGAATCTGAAACTCCACAAACCTGTCAGCTCGAAAAATCTAGACGCGCTCCGCACGGAAGCTGAACCAGCCGGCTTGGTAGTAACATCACCAACCTGAAAGACTTGGTGTTTTGGCTTTTCTTCATCCTCGAAACAGTTATCCCCCTGTATTTCCCCCCTGTAGCGCTAACTTGTACCGCTGAGCGTTGCTGACAGGGGTCTTGGTGTTTGATCTGCCGTCTCACAATGCACACCTCAAGCAGCACCCGGTTTCGCCTCAACTGGGCTCTCTCGATATAGTTACTTAGCTGGGTAGTTAGTTGCGATTGTACTCCATATCTTCCGTGACATCTGCTGTCTTGAACTAAACTTTTTTCTCTTTTCCTTTCCTTCTGCACGTTGATCTGGAATCACGCAGCGACTTTCATTCTTTGGTGCAAATCGTTTTATTCTTCTTCTTACGGTCTTTTTTGCATTCAATACGACAGTTTAATTTTGTAATTCACGACAACGAAGCTCTGGTAGCGGTTTATTTTCGACTTTCCCGGTCTCGGTTTCTCTCTTTGCTATAATGGACGATTTGGCTCTCGAACTACAAGTCTCTCGCATCATCAACGCAGTCGAATCTACCACTATTTTCACGACCATCTTTCCGAACCCAACTGCGAAAGCGGATTATACAACAACTCAAGAAGCACCTGTCGTTACAGTGACGCAGGAGGCGAATCAAAATGATGCAGGAGGACTACCTGGTGGCAAGATCTTTGGAGCTCTTGAGATCATTATCGCTCTAGGAGCATTGGGTATGTCAATCTCATTGCTGAAGAAAGACAAAAAACTAACTTTGTGATAGTTGGCGTTCTACTACTCGTCATGGGAATCATCCTATGCGATCGACGAAGAAAATCCAAGAAGCGAAAGCGAGCATCCGCACGAGTTCACAAGAGAATGACTGAAAAGGCCGACCCACCAGCTGAGAACAGCCAAGCAAGCGTACCGCCAACAGAAGCAAGGTTACCAGAATCGATATGGCCCCGGATGGCGGAGAAGAATCAAGCAGTTCATGATTATTGGCATAACGATGCATCACGGCAGCAGCAACAAGGTTGGCAGCCAGGCGCCGGACAATCTCAAGAACACGGGCAATATAGATATCAATAATCCCCAATGAAAGAAAGTCTTACGGCCGGCTATACAAAATCTAAAAAAAAAAAGAAAGTCTCGAAAAGAGACACACCACAAATACTCACTTAGAGTGACTTACCTACCTTTCCTTCTTCCAAAATCCTGAGCCGATCTCGAATAGCAAATCTCCACTCCCGAGCAATCTTGTAGATCAGAACCGTAAACAGGATTAGAACAATAGTGCAAACAAGAAGAATTATCACAACACTGAACCACAGACCAGCGTCTTGTAAGCCTAGACTGTTTCGACCAGGATGTTCTTGCTGGACCGCGATGGCAACTTGTAGTCCACTGAGTATGGTTGATACCATCGCGATGATAAATAAGATTGGTCCGTAAAAGTGCGCGAAGTATGCTCCGTACTGATGCTCGACGCGATGGAACTTTGATTTTCCAAGGATCAAGGGTGCGTAGATGTTAAGTCTCGTTAACCGAATTTCCCCGTAGGCGTATCGTTCAGAGACATCTTTGTCGCTTATCTCCGGAAAATCAGTTGAAAAATCGCAGAACGCTTCCCAAGTGACTCCAGCAGGAATTAAACATCGACTTATATCTTGTGCAAGGTTGAAGTCATATTCAGATTGTATGAGATAGAACCAAGTCCTCAGGAATCCCAGAGCAGCCTTGCGAATACGCTCTCGCCGAGGATCTCCGTCTGGAGCCAAGTACTGCTTCCAAAATGCATGGGATGTAAGATATTTTGGTAACGGTTTGATGAAAATTCGATCCTGGATCCAGACGAGATGTAGCTTTGGATCTTGAGACACAACGATATTTCGTCCCTTGACAGCTTGGCGGTGTAGAGGTGAGATATTAGCATGGTCCTGCGTAGACATCCACCAAAGCCTTTTTGCTACTACATCAAGATCCTTCGAGCAGTATTCTTTCTCTAGAAAGTTGAGCAATTTTGGTTGGTCTTGAAGGGATATTCGTGGGTAACCGGGAAGACGTTGTGGTGTGGCGTCTGATTCGCTTAATTCGAAGAGCTGAAACGCCTCAGAAAACGGGGGCCCGGTTGAGGCATGTTTGTTAAGTGTTGCCATTTTCCCTCAATTCTTACAGAGAAGGAATAATTCATCAGAATGAATTCTTGTGGGATATATTCAAGTCTTGGGGCTATGCAGGTTCAAATGTATTGTGAGCGTTGAAGTTCTGCAGCGGTAGGCAGCCACGGCGTTTCCAGGGCGGTAAGCGATGCCATAAACCAAATTGAGCATACTTAAGCACCCTCGTCGCCGATGGAGAAGTAGCTTCCAACCTTCCTTCCACATCACGCGAAAACGCAAAAAACTTCAGCTCCGTCCCTCTTATCTTGTGGGCGTCCAACTTGAACCTTCCCATTGTCCACAAAACTCACAATGTCTTCATCTTGGACTCCGTTTGCACAATGAATTAAATTCCGACAGAGCCTCTACCAAAACTCTCTTCCTGGAATAACTGGCCCTCTCACCCTCACATCTCTTTATATGTTTGTCTTGGACGGACATGAAGATAACAAACCAATAAGGAAATCAAGCTAAAACAAAGTACACTAAGGCTTTACAGCTTTCTGGTTGGCTCGGATAGACCCGTAGGCGCGCAATCAGTTGATCGCTTAGCTGCTTTAGTGGTAGATCCAGTGAAGAGATCGACTTCATAACTTGGTAAGGTAAGATCAAGATAACCTCTACAGAAAGCCAGCTTCCCAGATCAAGAACAAGTAACCGGATCAGATACTTCGGACTCAAATACGGTTAGCCCCAGAGCTTCTCCATTGTTGTGGCTGATGCTGCCATTGATGAGGCCTTAAGGCCAATCGCAGTGATGGATATCAAGATCCGACAGATGCACTTGTAGGGACTGGTTGAGGAAGTAAACAGATTTGGATAAATTGCCGATGGGCAGTTTATTACACTACGAGTCTCGACTCTCAAAGATTCTATCCTTTACCGCAAATAGAGCCCATATATGAAAAGAAAAGCTGGTTCATATCGTATCTCAATTGAAATAGTATTAATCCTCCGCTAAATTGAAAGAACCTCGCGGTTGCAAAGTATTGCCTAACGTTGGACGCCAAATGTTTTTTGACGGCATTGCTGATTTTCTTCACTGCAATTTTAACC